AAAAAAAAATCAACATTTCAAAGATCTGGCTAAAAATTTGTATGAGATTTGACCTGAGACGAGCCTTGGAGAGCTCCCAGTAACATCGACCGTAGTGACGAGCGAGCTGGATGGCATCTCTAGCTTTGGAACTCAAAGGTCGAAACGCGAGGGATTTGTCAGCGAGAAACCCTAGCTTTATGACGGAGTCAGATGTAGGAGAAGGCGAAGGCGTCGCCGATGAGGAATAGAAGCGTCGATAAGAAGGAGAAAGTACCGGTTCAACAACGCCGTTCGGACTTAAAATGGAAAAAGCGGATGCGTAATGAAAGTAATAATGATTAATGGAGGAGGAAGAGCATAGAAGCTTCGAAGAGAAGCTTAAAGTGGTGGAGTTTCGCCACATGGGTGGTTTCAAGAAATTTTCTTCGGGGAAATTTTGGCAGAGATTTTGGATCTCTTACGAGTTCATCGTTATCATCCTTCAGGTCGACCGTCCAGACAGACGCTGCCAGTCGAAGCCTTGAAGATGATCAACTCTTTAGAAAATGGAGTTGCCAGTAGCCAGAAACCCAATACCAGGCCCAATAAAGCAACAAAACCCAAGCAAAAAACCCATGAAAACAGAAGTAAATCTAATATTTTGTTTTATATGAAACATATTAATCGAAAATATTTTTAATTGTTTGAATAATTACGTAGAAAATATTCTTCATCATGGCCCGTTTTCAATAAAAATTCATCTTTAATAATTTTTTTATTATAACATCATAAAAATATCAATATTCATTAATTATGCAAAATATTTTTTACATTAAATATATTATATATATAGATAATATTTTATAATTTTCATTTATTTATTTCTCATTATCCTGTTATATTGATTAGTTTGTTAAGGAATAAATTATAGCGTGGAAATAAAGGAGAGATTTTCGTGTATGAATATTTTATTTTCTATTTTATATAAAAAATTTTAATTAAATCTAATTATTTTTTTATTATATTAAATATTGTAGTATTTTTGTAAAGATAATTATAGGTGATATGGTTCTTATGGAATAATTGAATAAACATAGTTCATGATACTTTGCTGAAAAAAAAAACTAAATAAAGAGATAAAACAAAGAAAATAGCTGAATAATGCTTTGTTGGGAAAGAGTTGAATAATAATTGAATTCACAATTAATTGTTTCATCGAATCGTATAATCCCATTTCTCACTACAAATTACAAAATCTCAACTTTGGCTATTGATGGCTCAAACATGGCTGCAGTGAAGCTTGTTGGCTCATGGGCTTGTGTTTATTTCTTTAGAGTTATTTGGGGTTGGCATACGAATACTTTGAAGATCTCTGCAATAAGAGTCCTTTGCTTCTTCAGTCCAACCCATTTCACAAGAAGATGCCTGTTTTCATCCATGGTGGAAAACTCATTTGTGAGTCCACGATTATTCTTTAATATATTGAAGAGGCTTGGCCACATAATTCCTTGCTGCCAAGGTATATCTTAGATTTTGACAAAGCCACTGCTCGATTTTGGATTAAATTTGCAGAAGACAGGGTATATTTTAGATTCAGAATCTTCAGATTATGGCAGTATTAGACTGTGTCGCTACGCTTACAATGTATCTTCATTCTGGCAGATTGCAGCAACAGTTTGGCCTGTTTATCGAACTGACGGCGAAGAACAAGAGAAGGTAGTGAAAGAGAGCTTGGAAATGCTGCAAACTATCGAAGAACATGCCCATGGGGTGGGGGATGAGAAGATTAATATGGGCTAGCTCATTGGCTGGGAATTATTGAAGATGTAGCAGGAATGAAGCTAGTCGAACCCCACAAGTTCCCTCGCCTGAATCAGTGGATCGAAAACTTCATACAAGTTCCTGTAATCAAAGAAAACCTCCCCGACCGTGATGCAACGTTTGCTTACTTGAAGCGTCACCGGGAAATGCTGCTTGCATCCAAGTGACAGTATTCTTTCTAATTTTTTAATATTTTCTTGATCTTATTCTTAACTGCAGACAATGAATCGAAGTGAATAAATCAGTGCTTTTAATTTTTTGATTTGGCTACAATTAATGAATAAACTTATTTAGTTTAATGGAGAGAAATGGGACCATATCTCAAGATTTTCTTATCATAAACTGCACCAGTGTATTTGTATAAATGCATGGACAGACACATTTCCTTTAGTCCTTTTCAACTGTTAAACGTGGGGCATGAGCACTTCCCAAAAGGTTCTCTTTTGACTCGAAAGAGTACAAACTCCATTAATTCAGATGCGTCATGGATGATGCAAGATAAACCAGGACAATCGAATTTCATATCCTGCCCGACGCAAACTGAAGTGACCTTGGTGCTACTGCTAACTAACTGGGGCCTATGACACATAATTTTTACATGTTATTTATTTCACTAGGTAATATCCACAAAATGAGTAAATTGTATAGAGAAAATTCAGAACATAGATTCTGGGACAATGGTGTCATTTAGAAGCAAGTATCATCTCCCTGCGGCGCTTGAAGAAAGCAAACATCTCGTCACGATCAGGGAGGTTTTCTTTGATTATTGGAACTTGCTTGAAATTCTTGATCCATGTTTGCAAACAAGGGAAATTGCCAGCTTCAAGTAGCTTCACTCCTGTTACGTCTTCAATAACTGGTAACCAGTGGGCAAGGTGTCCGAAAGCTATATCCACCATGTTCATCTTGTCTCCCCCAAAGAATTTCTTCTCTGCTAGTGCATGTTCTTCAATGGTTTTTAGCATTTCCAAGCTGTCCTTAACCGCCTTCTCCTGCTCTTCACCGTTGGTCCTTAAAATCATCCAGATTGCTGGACTCTGTAAGAATCAAAGATGCAACAATAAATTATCAATAACAATTAAATAGATCTTGTACAATTCAGATTAATGAAATGAAAATTAGGAATAGCATATGCTCCAAAACCATGTCTAGAAGGCAAAAGATTTACCTTTTCATCTGCAAATTTGATCCAGAAACGAGCAATGGCTCTGTCATAGGGATAACTTGGTAGCAAGGAATTTTGTGGCCAAATTTCTTCGATGTATTCAAGAATGATCATGGACTCACAAATTGGCTTTCCACCATGAAGGAGTACTGGTATTTTCTTGTGAACTGGATTATACTGGAGAAGCAAGGGACTCTTGTTGGCTAGATCTTCTTCTATGAATTCATATGCTACGCCTTTCAGTTTCAGTGCCCAAACCACTCTATAATAAAAAGGACTAGGCCATGCTGCAAGCAGCTTCACTTCAGCCATGTGAGTGAGATCAAGTACTCAGATTCTTGATCAATCTGAAATTCTGATAATGGTGAGACATTGCATGCCTTCTAAAAGTCAATTTATAGAGAATAATGAAGTTCACCAACTCAAACAGTCAGCTTAAACATTTTAAACTTTTTTGTTAATCAATGATTGAATTCCAAAACAGGTTGTCCTTTTCGAAACTCTCCATATATTTTATAGTGGGAACTCGGGAAAGAAGATAAGTCCTGTTGTGGAACTGGTCAATAGTCAAAGAAAACGAAATGATTACATTATTTTTGGAGTAGGTGAATTCTGCCTATGTAATGGCCTTTTTGTATAATATTGCTTAGAAAATTTAGCTCCTTAATTCTTGGCTTTAATTGGAAGGTGAAATTGGGTAAATGTGGGTAAGATCATCTGAATGGAATTCACATATGAAATCCCAAATAAAACAGCTCAGTTGGGATCTCAGAGACTAAGGGAAGGGAAAATCATCCAATAATTGACTGGCCGATTCACTTTATCCGGTTTTTGGACACTAACATGGGGCTATGATTCGTTCAAGGCATATACCTCATTATTCTATCTCATGAGAAAATGACCCTAGAATTTCCAGCTCATCACAAATGAAAATTCTCGATTTCGACTACAACAATTGCATAAAACCATTTATGTTTATTCGAATTTGTCTTGGAATTTAGCACTTGCCGATTCTATGATTACTATAAAATTTGACTAGCTAGAGATGTGCAAGGCCATTGCCCACTCTGATTGATCTCTCAAACATGGAAGAAGTGAAACTGCTTGGAATGTGGCTGAGTCCTTACAGTTACAGGGTCATTTGGGCTCTGAAACTCAAAGGCATAGCATATGAATACATGGAAGAAGATCTCTCCAATAAGAGTCCTTTGCTTCTCCAATGTAACCCGGTTCACAAGAAGATACCCGTGCTAATTCACGGTGGAAAACCGATTTGCGAGTCCTCGGTTATTCTTGAATACATTGAAGAGATATGGCCCCAGAATTCCTTGCTGCCATGTGATCCATATGAGAGAGCCATCGCCCGGTTTTGGATCAAATTTGCTGATGATAAGGTTTCCATAACAAAATAGTTCAACAGAAAAACGTTACCATTTTTATTTTAATTGATAGTTTGTTTAATTTGACGTCGCCTTTTGGTTCGAGCAGGGTCCAATAGTATGGAAAATTTGTGGAACTAGAGGCGAAGAACGACAGAAAGTAATTGAGGAGAGCTTGGAAATGCTAAAAACCATAGAAGAACATGGCCTTGGAGACAAGAAATTCTTCGGAGGAGACAATATCAGCATGGTGGACATAGCCTTTGGCGGACTCGCCTACTGGCCTGGAGTCATTGAAAAGGTACTGGGCAGAAATCTGCTGGAAGCCCACAAGTTTCCTCGCCTGCACGCATGGACCAAGAATTTCGAGGAAGTCCCCGAAGTCAAAGAAAACCTCCCTGACCTTGGTCGTTTGTTAAAGCGAGAGACATAGATTTTCGCTAGCAATCGGAACAACAAGTACCAAAAAGAAAGAATAAAAAATCATCTGCTGGAACTTTGCTCTACTTTTATTGGTAGATGTACTTTCTTTAATTACCCAATGTCCATTTTGATTACCCTCATTGATCTCGAACAGAGTAGAGGTTAAAGTATTTAACATATAACCTTACCTCCCTCCAGAAACCATCCATCAAATATTTGTTCAGCCACCGATATTGAATTTGCATATTGTTGACTTTTTTGACTGTTGAATTCAATTACAGGGATTGTCAAAGTATTCTTTGAATCCATTCATTTATTATAATTCAATTGGAGAGCCTTTTGCTATTTTAAGTTATAGGTCCAAGTACCCAAAAAAAAGAAAGAAGAACTCAACTGATATCTCAAACATGGCTGAAGTAAAGCTGCTGGGGACTTGGGTTAGTCCTTACACTTACAGAGTCAAATGGGCTTTGAAATTGAAAGGCATAGCATTTGACTATGTAGAAGAAGATCTCTGCAATAAGAGTTCTTTGCTTCTCCAACACAACCCATTTCACAAGAAAGTACCAGTTTTCTTTCATGGTGGAAAATCCATATGCGAGTCTTCGATTATTCTTGAATACATTGAAGAGATATGGCCACAAAATTCTTTGCTGCCGAGTAATCCTTATGAGAGAGCCATGGCTCGATTTTGGATTAAATTTGCTGAAGATAAGGTACTTTTGTTCATCGCTTACAAGGTTTCTGGTCATCTAGTAAGAGTACAGAGACTTTTAACTTTTCTTGGCAAAAGAAATTTCTAACTTGATGAAAATTTCCGTTCTTTGGTTCTTTACAGGGTCCAGCAATGTGGATGGTTGGTCAAGGGCAGGAGAAAGCAGAGAAAGATAGCTTGGAAATGCTAAAAATGGTTGAAGAACAAGGACTTGGAGAGAAGAAATTTTTTGGTGGGGACAAGATTAACATGGTGGATATAGTCTTTGGACTTGCTCATTGGGTGGGAGGGGAGAAGCTACTTGAAGCTCATAATCTCCATCGCCTGCAGGCATGGCTCAGAAATTTCAAGCAAGTTCCTGTCATCACAGAAAACCTCCCTGACCTTGATGAGATGCTTGCTTTCTTAAGGCGTCAAAGGGAAATGTCTCCGGTAGCTAAATGATATAAAGGACAAGACGAAATGAAAGAGGCCTAAGAAGATGGGGTGTGCGCTTTGAACAGAAAATATATCTAGATAATTTTGTTTCTCAAAACTCATTTTTCTGGGAATTTAGCTGCGTGTAGTCATACTTTATCTTTCTCTATCTCCATCAGGGCTTATGAAAAGAGCAAAATGTACTTTCTTTGGCCCTGTGAGTCTGTTATTTGCTCAGTATTGGAAGCCCAAGATCGTTTGTTCTGATCCAGCAAAAGTATTGGAGGAATTTGCCGGTACGTGTTTGGGTGTAGTGTGCAATACCTTGTTCTTTTCTTTTGATTCTGTGGGTGGAATTTTTTCACTCCCCACAGATTAATGAAAGCCCCTATATAATGTTTTAAAAAGAAAAGATGTTAGTAGAGGGAAGACACTTGTTTCTTATCAATTAGCGTAATCCAGTTTTCTATTCTTTCTTTATTAATAATTGACAAGATGAAGGATCTGGTGAAGTTTCCGTGGACTCAAACACAAAACCAACCAATTAATTAAGCTTGCTTCATGCATGACATATCTATATATAGCTGAACAACACAATTCAAAGCATGTGACAGAATAAAATTAAACCCACTCATATATATTAAAAATTGATAGATCCACTTTTGACGTCAAGTCTGCATCTTTTCTTAAACATTTAGCACTGTCTTCCGGACAATTTTTTTTTTTTTTATACTTCAGCTTTACCGTTATGATTTGGAATTGGTTACCTTGGTGTAGACTTCGACCTCTAATCATTATTATAAAATTACTTTGAAGGCACCCAGGATCTACCCGATTGATTGATCTCTCCATCATGGCTGTAGTGAAATTGCTAGGAGCTTGGACTAGTCCATATTGTTACAGAGTAATTTGGGCTCTGAAACTCAAAGGCATACCCTATGAATACATAGAAGAAGATCTCCTTAGTAAGAGCCCCTTGCTTCTTCAGTATAATCCAGTTCATAAGAAGATTCCTGTGCTTGTTCATGATGGAAAACCAATATGTGAGTCCACCATTATTCTTCAATACATTGAAGAGATATGGCCACAACCTTCCTTGCTGCCAAGTGATCCCTACGAGAGGGCAATGGCTCGTTTTTGGATTAAATTTGCTGATGATAAGGTAATTCTTCTTGCTTTGGTGCATATGATTTTTCATTATTTAAGCTTTCAGATTTCTTTGGTTAGATTAGATGTATATGATATTGTAGGGTGTTAGCTAATATTAGAAAATACAGAGTCAGGATATTGAACTTCTTATGTTAGAAAGCATAAAAAATTGTTCCATTTTTGTTGATCATTGTTTAGTAACATCCATATTATCTCGGGTTCTGGCAGAGTCCCTCAATCTCAAAGATGTATCGAACCAGCGGCGAAGAGCAGGAGAAGGCAGTCAAGGATGTCCTGGAAATGTTAGAAACCATTGAAGAACATGGCCTGATCGGAGGGAAGAAATTCTATGGGGGAGACAAGATTAGCATGGTGGACATGGCATTGGTGCAGTTGCTCACTGGCTGGGAGTTATTGAAGACGCAGCAGGGCTAAAAATATTTGAAGCACACAAGTTCCCTCGTTTGCAGTCATGGATCCAAAATTTCAAGGAAGTTCCTATAATTAAAGAAAACCGCCCTGATCGTGATAAGATGTTTGCTTTATTAAAGCGTCGTAGAGAGATGTTGCTGGCATCTAAATGAAACTAGCATCAGGAACGTTGCCTTTTAATACTCTATGTTTCATTTATTATGTTATGGATATTAGCAAAATGATACAATGGTATGTCTCTGCCTTGATTACCTGGTGTGGTACTATGTAATGGAATCTTAATTAATCCAAACAATAAACCTTTTGATTCGATTAATAGTTGTTGGATATTTTCAAATAAATATGATTTCATATCGAAAAGAAGGGTTGTGTCGTTGAAATTAAATCAATAGACACTATTAACAGTCACGGTTGAGAAAAGATCAACAGAAGCAACTCTTTGTAACAGACACAAATAGTGTCTGTTGAGAACAGGATCTATGCCTATAAAAGATGACCCTCATTATCCATTGAAAATAAGAAAAAAACCAATATCTCTCAATTCTTTTCTCAACATTTTCCAAGTTTTTCTTCTATACTATTTTCCTGCAGAAAAGTATTATAGAAGTTTGATAATCTTGTTATACTCCGGTGAGTGCTCAGTGGATTGATTTCGTCAGTGCAAACGCCATCAATCATTGGGCTTCATTGTATCTTGAGGTTTATACGCGGTAACTCTTTTGCACACTTAAGTGGGGGCGAATAAACCTTAGGATAGTGGCATTGATACACGCTTGAAGCCAATTTCTAAGTTTTTCAGTTTGGTGTTCTAACAATCTTAAGGTTTTAATCTCGTTCAACAATGGCTGCTGCAAGCGGAACACTAAGAGAATTGGCTTCTGACTTTGTAAAATTAGATCGGTTTGATGGCAGTAACTTTCCAAGATGGCAGGAAGAGATGCATTTCCTTTTATCAACTTTGAAAGTTGTTTATGTTTTGACGACACCTAGACCAGAAGAAGGAGAAAATGAATCTGTTGCTGCAACGAGAGAGACAAAAATGGACAATGCGATTTATGTGCAAAGGTCACATCTTGAATGGTTTGGCTGATGTCTTATTTGACACCTACCAGACGGGCTACTGCAAAAGATTGTGGGACAAACTGGAAGCCAGGTACATGACAGAAGATGCAACAAGTAAGAAATTCTTGTTAGTCGCTTTATTAATTATCAAATGGTAGATGGGCGTTCTGTTATAGAACATTACGGAAAATTGAAAGAATGCTTAATCAGTTTAAACAATATAAAATGAACATGGATGAAACTATAGTTGTATCTCCCTTATAGACAAACTTCCTCCATCATGGAAAGACTTTAAAGAAGTCTGAAACACAAAAAGGAAGAAATAAATCTTGAGGCTTTGGCATCATCTTCGAATTGAAGAGGAATATAGGAAACAAGAGCAAGTCGCTGTTTCTGGTGAAGCCAAAGTACATGTAGTGGAGGAAAGACAGACCACTAAACCTGCCAAAAAGAGTTCACACAGATTGCTATGGTCTGAAATTCAAAAGAAAGAACAAAAGCACATGCTTCCATTGCGGAAAACTAGGACATTTCAAAAGGGAATGTCGATTATTGAAGAAGAAAATTACTTCTTCAAATGGTGTTGCTTCTGAAAACTTTGTGCCATGATTTCAGAAATCAATATGGTTGAAGAAATGATGATTGGTGGATTGATTCAGGAGCAACCAAACATGTGTGTAATGACAAGAATTTGTTCAAGAATTTCTCTCCAAGTGACTATGGAAATTTCCTATATATGGGAAATTCTTCCACAGCAACCATTAAGGTAAAGGGACTGTTGAACTTGAGTTTACTTCTGGGAAATTCTAACTTTGAAAGATGTTTACTATGTTCCAGAAGTTAGAAAAATTTAGTGTCTGGAAGTCTATTAAATAAGTTTGGGTTCAAACTTGTATTTGAGGCAATATAATTCATTCTGTCTAAGGGGGGTATATTTGTTGGAAAAGGTTACATGTGTGATGGAATGTTCAAATTAAATATTGTTAATAAAAAAACAAAATAGTTGTTTCTGCTTATATGATTGAGTCTTCTTATTTGTGGCATTATAGATTAGGACATTTAAATTATAGAAGATTGAATGATATGTATAAAATGGACTTGATTCCAAATTTAATCTAAATATTGATAATGCAATAATGCATGCTGACAAAAATACTAGAAATCCTTTTCTCTAAGTTAAAAGAAATACTAAATTACTTGAATTATACATATAGTGATGTGTGCGATATGCATAGTACACCTACATTAGCTGGAAAGAATATTTTGTCACTTCATTGATGATTTTTCTAGATATTGCTATGTATATTTATTGCATTCTAAGATGAAGTGCTTGATAAATAAGGTTTATATTAGAAGTTGAATTCAATGTGAATCTTTTATCAAATGTTTTAAGATCAGACAGAGGTGGAGAATATTATGTCTATTATTTCGGATCTATTGGTATTCCATTATTTCAGCACCTTACCCACAGATAATGGTGTAGCAGAAAGGAAGAATAGGGTCTTGACTGAAATGGTAAATGCTATGTTATCATATTCAAGTCTTGGAAAAGGTTTTGGGGAGAGCTTTGTTAACAGCTTGTCACATATTAAATAGAGTTCCTATAAGAAACTAAAAGACCCATGAAACAATGGAAGAAAGGAAACCAAACCTTAGTTATATGAAGATTTGGGGATGTAGAGCTGTAGTTAAAGTTCTGGAACCAAAAGAAAGAATTGGTGAAAGAGGAATAGAATGCATATTCATAGGATATGCACAACATAGTAAAGCATATAGGTTCATGGTAATTGAACAAATGATTCAATTCCAATCATACTGTTATTGAATCAAGAGATGCAATATTTGATGAGAATAGATTCAAATCTGTTTTAAGGCAACTACAGCCACTACAATCAATTCAATCACATGTCTTCCATTAGAACAAAATAAAATTAATGATGAATCTAGCTTAGAAGTAAGGAAAGCAAAAGGGCTAGAAAGATAAAAGATTTTGGTCCAGACTTTTATATGTTCCTTATAGAAGGAACGGGAGAAATATTAACAATAAGTTCCTTATTGTTTTAATTTAGAATCGGACCCTGTTACATATGACGAGGCAATGAAGTCTCAAGATTCTGCATTTTGGAAGGAAGCAATCCATGATGAGATGGACTCAATAATGGGAAATAATACTTGGATTTGGTTGATCTTCCACCAGGTCCAAATCAATAGGTTGTAAATGGATTTTTAAAAGAAAATGAAAGTAGATGGAACCATAGACAAGTTCAAGCAAGATGTAGCCAAAGGCTTTACGCGCAAGGGATTGATACTTTGATACTTATATCTTCCAGTAGCAAGAATTGACTACTAATTAGTGAGTATCTTCTAATATCACCTTGCATGCAAGTATTACTAAGTTAAATAATTCGACCAAATGGATGTACTCAAAAACTGCATTTTAGATGGTGAAATAGAGAGAAGAAGTCTACATGGAACAACAGAAGGTGGTTTGTTGTTTTAGGACATAGCTTTCATAAAGTTTGATAAGAACGTTGTCAGTCATTTTTATAGGGCTTAAGCACAAGTGCTACTTATGAATTGTTTTCAATGGCTACTCTAATGACAAATTGCTAATAGCATTCAGATATAGGTGTTTTTATAATCTTCTTTATTTTGGAACAATCTATGCTAATTGTATGATTAACATTGGGACAAGAAGTTTAATAGAAAAATTCATGGTATGTGCAATGTCATTAAATTAATATTAGATTAAGCCTATTTCACTGGATAATGAATTAAAGGTGCTAATTGCATTAACCAATGTATACTCTCTGCTAATATAATGTGGCTTTCTGTGATGCTAATTATAATATGCAGATAATTGGTTTTTATGTATCCAATAGAACCATCGTGGAGGCCAGATCAAGATAACGCATTTGCGTGGATCATATCTCATTGAATAGATTAGAATGTTAACAGGTTGTCGTGTGGCAATGCATTTGAACATCAGATAATTGATATCTTTCGAATGAAAATTATTATGGATACTATTGCTATAATGGTATCACACTCGGATTAGCAAAGGTGCTTGAGAAGGGGATTAAGTAATTGTTATCCGCATCTACCCCATGGATACAGTCTCAAATAATAGTACCTAATCATGTGGGTTTAGGCATTGTTACAATGTGCAAGAGTATTGTTTTTGATGTATTGCAATGACATGTATCAAGGCACAGATATAGACTATTGCTGTTGGAAAATTGGTAGATCATACACAGTAATCCAGGATGCTATTGCATTGGGCAGCCATAAATAGGAGTCTCGATATTTAGGCGAAGAACAATTAATTAGCGTACTTTGTGCTTATGGTAATACATGCATTTCGTACTGTGGATAGGATTTCGGATGCTAGTTGGCATTACAAGTTTAGAAGACTCATGGTATCCACAAGTGGCATGGATTCATTTGTGTGAGTGGGTAGCCGATTTTTGGGTGGTCAAGAAACAAATGGTACTGATATCTACCATTGGCAGCCGAATTTTATATTGGCATGCGATCCAAGTGACAGCTATAATGGCTAAGAATTTAGTCTCTGGCTGCGTGCCTTATACTGAGGCCTAAAACGAATCTCTTCTCATATTCATATTTGTTGTGATGGTTCGATAGCACTCTAGCAAATTATTGAATCATAACTTATAACATGTGAAGGATAAGTCTTAGTCACTATTGAGCATTAGACATAGCTTGTTAGACTACTTAATTTTGAGTGGCTGTGAGTGAGTGACTACTATAACTTTTGTGAAGGTTCTAGTGGAAGAATTTTGGCGGTAAGGTCCTTCTAACCAATAAATCTTGTAGAGGATTATTGTATAAGACTCAAACGGATGGTGATAAAGCTCTCATTGAAAGTGACCATGGGGAACTAATCTACGCTTGATATTAGTCAGTCTTCGAGTTGAATTGAGCACAAGTAATCATTTGTGTGGTCTAGCTTAGCTATTATGTTTATTCCATCTAGTTGAAGTGTGTGATCCCGTAATGATAAGGAAGGATGAGTTATATCTTAATAGACCATAACATAATTGTTAGAATGCTTTGTTACGGGGCATTCATGGGATCTACCTATGTGAATATGAACTGTGGCCGCTTCTGGAGTTCAAGAGCTTGGCTCTAACAGTACTCATGAAAAGAGGATATGGACGCATGGCCATAAAAGCGTCGCGGATACTGTGCATTCATTGGTGTTGAAATCA